AATAACCCATTCTAGTTGTGATGAGGAATACAATAACCCATCACCATAGCAAAGAGTATATTTTATTTGAAAAATACGAATAAAAGATTTTGTCCCTTTTGTTTATTCAAAGAAAATGTAACAATTTCTATCAGTAACACTTGCATAAGGAGGTATACTTTACATTACTCTTTTGTTAAAAAAAAATAAAATTTTTGAGACATTGGAAAAATAAGGATGGCCCAATACTCGAAACACGCTCCTAATTTTCCTTACAATGCACTGTGCCATTTATATGTACTGCAAGTACCAGGTCTTAGCAATTTATAATCCACAAAGTAACCCTAGGCAGCATAATTTCATATTCTTCTCTGCATTTGGAACATTTCCTTTGTTGCCCTTTGTGTGAGTCTATGAGTTTGGTTAACTCCAGACTGGTCCAATATTTAGATGTTCTAAAGGATGATTTTACAAAACATTATACCACAGGAATTTTGTAATACCTTTTAAATACCAGTGAGAATATTTTCACATAGACATTTTCTTGCAGTATAAGCAAATTAAACAACTGCCTCAATTAGAACTCAAAACCAAAAATGTTTACAATTATTTTGGTTTTCTAAGATGAATGCAAAAAATAAAGTACATAACAGAGTGAAATTGCTTTCAACTTTTACAGTCTTCTATGTGTACGTAATAAATAGCGACACTGATAAACAAATTAATTTGCTTTCAATGTATGAATCTTAATCTAATGCCAGTTGAATTCAAGCTCTTCCTTGTCTTTAAAGTGTATTAAATTACATTTTTGTCCGGTTTTAGGTTGACAATATATTTTTACGTTTTAAAATAATTATACAGACCATTTTCTCAGATGGCGTGTCAAGATTACATCATACTGAGTGCCCTCACCATTACAAGAAAGAGATTTTTTTTCAAAGAATGCGACTAATTAATTTGGTGTAAATGTACTATTAGTTGAATAGCTGTTGCAGAAATAAAATTTTAAATTGGCAAACCCTTAAGCATCACTTTGTATGTGCCATTTAACTTTACTCAGTATATTCCAGTTTAAGTAAAACTGGCAGTTTTCAGGGTTTAGTGGTTAAGTGGCAACAGGATTACTATTTAGGCTAATAAGAAAATATTTGAGAATATGAGTACACAAAAGATCCATGAAAGCTTTAAGCAAAGTCTATAGAATCAGACTTAACCATAAACTAGGAAACAGTTTCCCACGATACTTTCACTGAATGTATACTTCGTTCAAATCAGCAATGCTACAAAATGATTGTTCCCTCCGCGGCATACAGCGTTAATTTGCTTCCACTTTAATCAATGTTAACATAGAAATTCTCAAATATAGTTTAGATTTGTTTCTAGGACACAAAGGACCAAAGGAAAGCTTTGTGGGACCAGGAAAAGAAATCTGTAAACCTGTTCTTTCTGCACTGTGAGGCCTTTTTCTGTGGCCCTGAAGATTTAATATTCTATTTGTCATGCAATCAACATGGCACTGTGATGTGTATTTGAGTAAAAAACAGTAAGCACAGCAAGCATGCAGACGTATCATGATAGAAAAGCACATTTGGCGATCACTGTGGATAGACATACCAAACAGGACACACCGCAGCATCACTGAAGCAGCGTCTCAATAACCCTGCAGAGTTTTAAAGGATTCAGAATTCCTGGGGCTGTGGGTACAATGCACGTGCTGTACAGCAGCCAAGAGAGCACCAGGAACGGTGAAAAGGGCATTCTTATTTCTCTGAGATATGACCTCCTTCTCTCATTAACTTAATCGGAACATGAGCGTAAGGAGTGATTATTTGCTTATGTCACTGCACTTCCGTTGGCTTTAAGCCTGAATGTTCTATGATGCGAATAAAAAGGTAACAATGGCGGGAACACTGCTTAAAGCACAAACTACAATTGATTTTCCCTGCTTCGCTGTAGGGCCGGAGGGAACAGCCATAAAGATAACTAATACCTGGCTCTCAAAACTATAACACAACAATGAATGCAGTTTTCATGCAGATGTGGTACAAAGTATTGTGGTCCATGGTACTACTAATGCTGAAAGATTTTCTTCCTAGCATTCTACTCATACAATATAAAAATTTAGATGTTGGCATAAAGCAAGTGCGATCTAAATCAAAAGAAAAATTATCCTCATAAAATCCTGCACTACCAGTTGCTTCATTTGGGACAAAACTGAAACATATCCTAACTACTCCCAAAAAAGACAATACATAAACCATTCTCAGCTTGAGTATAACTCTTACTGCATTAAAGCATCTGTTTAACTTTACTCTACAATAAGAATGTCTCCTTAAATGCATTTCTAGATGATTCTGTATTTGGTAAATTAAATAAAAAAAAAAAAAGAACAGATTATTCTACTTTCAAATCATCAGCAGAACATTTTAGGGTTTGGGTTATTTTCCCCTTTAAATAGCCTTGTGGGTTCAGATGTTGACAGAAAGGGAAACATTACAATTTTCAAGTTGCAAAAAAAACAGTGTAATAAAAACCAACTCTGGAACTACAATACAACTAATACTTTTTAGAGTTTGAAAAGTTTCTTACAAAGCTACTTGCTAATTTTTCCAGAAGGCTGTTTAAACCAAAAGCAGTCAACAGCATCTCAGGAAGGAGTTTATTAAAAAAAAAAAAAAAATCCTCAAAGTGGAACTGACCAGAAGTTTCGGTCATGTCTAGGATCTACCCAACCATACAGTAAAGAAGGGAAGGCTTAATAATCTGGTTCACCTGTGTGGCCTACAGTAGGTCAGCAATAAATGCAGACCCTGCTTGGAGGAGCAAAAGGTACTCCCTTCTCTACTATGCTGAAGGTAAGTATCACCTAAAACGCACAGAGGAGGAATCTAGTGGAGTGTACAAATCTGTATCACTCTCCACACCAGCCCAGAGAGTAAAAAAACAGTACACAGCTTCTGCTCTGGACAGTTTCCTTAGCAAATGCATATTGCAGGAAGTCCACTTCCCTAAGTGGAGCTACAATTTTTTTAGAAGCAGAAGACTGTAATACATGGTGAGCCTTATAGGTCATAATCTTTCATGGGATATTATGAGCTCCTGGTCTTTTCACAGTACTATCACAAGAAAGACAAAGAGAAGGTTAAAGTTTCAAACAAAACAAAGGAAAACATAAGAATCTGCTGGATTAGGTGTTAAGCAGCCTGCAATGTTAAGCAGAACTGTTAAGCACTTCTGCAATGCTAAAAAGTTACTAACATAAGAAATCAATTTAATCTGTAAGAACTACAATAATGGTACATTGTCATTTTTTCTTCCTCCACTGACTTAAAATGTTCCTGTTACCCTGATGCTTTGTCCTGGTTTTGGCTGGGATAGAGTTAATTTTCTTCCTAGTAGCTGGTACAGTGCTGGGTTTTGGATTTAGGATGAGAATAATGTTGATAACACACCGATGTTTTAGTTGTTGCTAAGCAGTGCTTACACTAGCCAAGGACTTTTCAGCATCTCATGCCCTGCCAGCAAGAAGCTGGGAGGGGG